ATCCTACTTGCCTGAGAAAGCTACTTTCCAGAGAAGGACAAAATCCAAGATCAAAACCAGAAATCATTTACTCTGTGTGTGTGTGTTTAGACTGATAGCTTATTTCCCTGAAAAACTGGGCCCCAACTGTCTAACTATTAAAATAATAAGTACTTCAAAATTGGACATGCTGTTTTAAAAAACTGTTTTCTGGTATGAATTTTTCTTCATTATGAATCCACATAGAAAAGTTGTGGCAAACCCACTTCTGACCACATTAAGATATTCACAATTTTTATAGCAGTACTAACTCCTGAAAACAAACTCCCAATAAGACAGTCACAGAATACTGAAAAAACATACATGCATACATAAGAGCCACAGACAGATCCCTCCTTAAGATCCTATAAGGAAAACACAAAAGACTATCAATCATGGAAAGAAAATTTCTCTTTGTCAGCTATTTAATGTATGATAGTCTTCTAGTGAGAGGTTTAGGGCTGTCATCAGCATGCTTTCAAACCCCCAAATCTCAACCACCACCACCTGACTGGGCTCCCAAATTCTTACCAAAAGAAACATCTGTTTTGCTTGAATAGTGGGCATAATCACAATCCAGCTAACAGAATCTTTTAAAAGTAGTTAAGATAATATGTTTAATGGACAGAATTAAAATCCAAAATGACCACAAATTGATGGAATCCCAGTAGACTCTTGGGACAGCAGTGTGACCACAAGTGCCTTTTTCTTCCATCACATCGTTAAATAAGAAAAGGAAGATGTTTTCTGTACATAAAACCAGAAAATTAGAGTGAGCTGTAGGGTTTTTTTTTTTTTTTAAGATTTTATTTATTTGAGAGAGAGATCATGAGCAAGGGGAAGGGGTACAGGGAGAGGAAGAAGCAGCCTCCCTTGCTGAGCTGGCAGCCCAACGAGGGGCCTTGATCCCAGGACACTGAGATCATGACCTGAGCCTAAGGCAGATGCCTAATCAACTGAGCCACCCAGGTACCCCTGAGCTATAGGTTTTTAAGTAATGAGTAAATAATAATGCTCAGGGGAAAAAAACAAACAAAACAAGTATAAGCTTCATGTACTTAACAAAATTAATAGTAAAACTGCTAGGATTTTATATGAAAACATACACCTCAGACAAAAGGCAAAGACAGAAAAGGAACTTCTTAGCACATGAGAAGAGCCTAACAATTTCTTTGAAAATAGAACGCATACTCATACTCTGTACAGAGTCAATATTCAATTAATGCTAGTGACCGATTAAACCATGACATCTAGGAACTCTGATCACTTATAAGACCTAACTGAGTACCTTTCTGGGAATAAATGACTGTGTTTAAGGATGTTTATTTGAGGGGCACCTGGGTGGCTCAGTCGGTTAAGCATCTGCTTTCAGTTCAGGTCATGATCCCAGGGTCCTGGGACCAAGTCCCGTTCTCCCTCTGCCTGCCGCTCCCCCTGCTTGTGCACACTCTCTCTCCCTCTCTGACGAATAAATAAAATATTAAAAAAAAAAAAAAGATGCTTAGTTGAGGAGAGAAGCCCCTCATACACTCAAGCTTAAGAGAAGTGTCTAAATGCATCACGGTCAATCCACAAAGCTCAGAGAATGTAAACATGACCTGGACAAAGTTAAAGGACATTCCAAGTCCTTAATATTACAAGACTCTTTTCAAACTGGTCCCACTGAATGTGCCTTGGGGACCCTGTGGGTCTGGGAACCATCTACACAATGCTTGACTTTGTTTAGTGACAACAAAGGGGTCAAAGATTTGAGAAACAAAAGCGGCAGGACACAGCCTCCCAAAGCAAAACCAACCAAACAAGAAAAAAATATTCACAATTGTTTGGAGAAAAGAATGATTCTAGGCTGAAGCTTTAAATTAAATCAAATTATTTAAGTTATTAATTAATTAAAATCTTCAGTTAAGAGGAAAGGAAAGAAGATCACTGTTTCTTAAATCTTGTCAGTATCTATTTCTCCTTTTTAATTTCTCAGAGACAGACTTAACAATTACCACATACAAACACAACATGGTTGCTTTTTTTCAGTTACAGCAATTTCAAATTTTAGGGAGAGATATGCCATGCTTTTCTCTGAAGTAAGAATGCTTAAGTGTAGCTGGCTCTACATTTTAGAGCCAACAACAGAGCAGAAAGCCTTATAAAAAGCAAGGTACTGTTCAGTCAACTTCAGACAAACATTAATGGTGAGAAACATTATATAAGAAACACTAGGCATTTATATATATTTTTTGACTAAAAAGATTTCATGGGAAATTTAGGTAAAAGGAAGATTTTTAAATGTCTCATGTCTTCATGGCAGACAAAGATGCAGAGATGGATGTAATAATCAGGAAAAAATCATATAAGAATCTCCTCCATGTAATATCATGGATCAGTGATTATGGTGGGTTACAGCCTCATTAAATCTAATGGACATCCTCATCAACCATATATTCAAGCTCTATCTGTGTCAACAAGTGGCTGAGAAAAACTGAAGGCTGAAAGAACCTAACCCACTTTATCCACTTAAACCCTCCCTCACAAATGCCTGGGACCAGTGGACCCTTTAAAGTCCACAGAATAATCTAGTCACTAAATTTGTGCTCCTGGTACCTGAAAACATTTACTGCAAGAGCCTCTTAGCATACAGACAGGAAGCAGCATTTCTTGTTTGTTTTAGATAATCCAAGTAGGTTCATTACTTCCTTCCTTTTGTTCCTATTTTAAGGAGGAAGAGCAACAGAAAGCCCCATTCCCATTCCAACCCCACCCCCAATACAAATTACAATTTCCTTATATGTGCTAAAAGGAGCTGTAAATTATAAAAAGATGAGACTCACTTGCTGAGGGGGCAGCAAAAGTAAGCATGTTCTTACCTGATGTGGCCAATCAATTCAATAAGCTTGTGACTAAAAAAATAAGCTGTCAGCTCAGACACATGACTCAGGACTGAACAGACCCCAAAGAGGGTTGTAGTTCCATTCAGGTCTTCCAAATGCCAGTAGAGAAAGGTGAACACAAAGCCGTATCCAAAACCCATAAACCACGCCACAAACAACACGGAGCCGTACTGCACACTGCAGAGCAGTCTGATTAAGTCCCAAAAGTTGAAAGCCTGTGAATGGCTCGTGGTGGTTGGTGTCTCCTCAGAGGACTCTGTGGAGCTGTTCCTCTCCACTTGAGGGATCTCCACCTCTTTTCCTTTATTTTCACTGTTTTTGAAATGGTTGTAGCGGAACCGGAACTGAGTGGCGACAATCAAAGCCATGGTCATGAGAACTCCGAAGACGATGAAGACGATCTGGTAATTCCGATACTCAGGGGGTTTACACCCCTTTCCATCAATGAGCACTTCTATGTGAGTGTAGTCAATTCCAATGCCCACAGACAGCATCGCCAGGCCCCAGCCCAGGGAGCCCCACATGCGCTGCAATCCATAGCGATCTCTGTGTTTTCCCAGATACTGGAGTGTTACTGTGTCCACAATGGTGACAGAAGAGGCACTGAAAAATTCTCCTATTATGACGACTACCAAGATCACCAAGAATATAGCCTCCACTTCTTGTTGATCGTAAACAAGAGTGACTTGATCAGAAGGTAAAGATTTGGTGGTACTGACAATAGCGGTGGTTGTCTCTGTGGTTACGTTTCCCGGGAAGGCAGGGCTTGCTGTGCTTGGACTCAAGGTAAAGTCCGTAATATGGTCAGTAATTTCGTCTGTCTGCGGTTGCAGAGTGGGCATACTGGTCTTGTTTGGAGCTGTCGAAAAGATGACCGTTTCTGTGACATTGGGCCCCGTTTCTACAATCACCGGCCAGGTGGAAGGGAGCAGGCTCCTTTTCTCACGCATTCTTGGTGATGTGGTAATGGAAGAAGAGTTGGTTGGCAGGACAGTTAACAGATGACTTGAATTCGTGGGACGAGATGTTGGGGGAATCTTTGGTACGCATCTCAAGGTAGCAGGTTTGACAAATCCGATGCCCAGGTTGAATAAAACCCAACACAAAAGAGAAAAGAGGAGGACGATTTTGCCTTTTTTAAAGCGATCTGCAACTACCCCCCAAAAGGGGGCACTGCAGAATTCAATGAAGTATCGGATACCTACTAGCAATCCACTCTGGCTGGGTGACATTCCCAGCTGTTTATAATACACAGGCAAGAGTGGGTAAAGAGAGCCATATGCAGAGTAGAAGAAAAAATAGAAGACCTTGGATATCAGAAGATCATTGTTTATTTTGACACAATGTTTCTCTACCCAGTCTATTTCCTCCTCAGGAATAGCTGTTGTTTCTGTGGAGGTGGGTGTTTCATTGGAAGGTGGTTCCGGTTCCCTGGAAATACCATTAAAGGGATCAGCAAGCACATACTTTCTCTTCTGTTCCTCTTCATCATCAGTTAAGATGGCGACTTTATCATCTGACGCCATGGCTTACCACCACCATCAGAAAGTTTATGACCTTCAGAATCTTGATTGTTGATCTGTAAAGTAAAATTTAAAAGGTGGCTTAGTATGAAAATAACATTTAAACCTAGAGTTTCATCTTGCAAGAAGCTGAGGAGTTTCAAACAAAAATAGTAATGAGAGAGAATGAGAGAGAATTCTCCCGTTTATCACTTGCAGCCATACAATACTAAAAAAGGAAAACAGTTTTCAAAGAATCAAATACTCTTTATGGCCACTGACTGACTAATTACATGTTCTAATGGCAGGTTTATAGCTCAGGTTCATTCTCAAATCTTTTCATTGATTCCTGGTGAAAATTTACAAATGATAGGGATTATGTCTAAACCAAATATAGAGAATTGAAAATAGTATTTACACTTTCTTGGTTTTACTTTTCAAACAAATCCACTGCATGTTTGAAGTGTAGAATTTTTAGAAAATAAAGGTAGCTAAAACTGTTCAGTTTCTATAGAAAAACAGAAATAAGCTTTTAACCACAACCACGGATGTGATGAGAAAGAGGGAGTCAACTGCACATTTGCAACTGGAGTTGGTCACTACAGCCACGACAAAGATATCCTGGTAAGGAAATGGCCTTTATGTTGTATATATTCCATACATTTCTCTAGGTGTGCTTTTATGGATTAAAGTTTAAGAAAACGTCAGAAAAAAAAAAAAAACCCAGATACCATTTATTGAGTGCTTATTCTGCGCCAGGCAAACTTAAAGATCTTTAAATGTGTTAATTCATATTTATCACAATATCCCTGTTATCTTTTCCGTGTTAGAGGAAAGAAAAATGAGGCATGGTGAGCTTCAATAACTCAGAAGTGTCAGAGTGAGAGTCCAAACCCTAATATCATGGCTTTAAGCTGCACACTCTAACTGCCAAATGCTACATTCTGGATAATAAAATGTGATTAAACCTTTTTATAAGACAGGATGTTTCATATGAAAGATAAACAATATGTCAATGGCATAAATTTATAGGAACTACCACATTCCATCAGAATTTCCCTTTCTTCCATTATACAGATAATTAAAGAGTCCAAAGGTCTTGCTTACATCAAGATTTGTCAAGCTGCAATCAATATATTCTGATGTAGGAGGTATATACATTAAATACATAGTAATTCTTTTCACCTTCTATACCAGAGAGGAATAACTTCACTTGCTACCCCTTGGAATAGACCTTGCTCTCACCTTTTCCCCAAATGAAGACTAAGTTGCTGAAAATCTTCCAGAATCAGGCTTGCAAACATTTAAAAAAGAGCTGCTAGGCAGACAGTGGAAACACAATGTAATGAGACCTGTGTAATAAATCAGTTGATCTTCTACCCCCATCCCCAAGCCAGGTGTCAATGTAGCTGTAAGTTTTTACAATGTTCATGTATTTCTTATTTTTAGGTTTAAGCAATTTTTTTATTTGAGGTAAAATTCACACAACATAAAATTAACCATTTTAAGTAAATAATTCAGTGGAATTTAGTGCATTCACAATGTTGTGCAACCCCCAACTCTATCTAGTTCCCAAGTCATGTTTTCCTTAGCATGAAAGGAAAATCTGTTTTCCCCACAAAACTTCAAGGAAAAGCAAAATCCTATCTTTTGCTGTCCAGCTGATTTTTCTCAATGTTCCATACTTATGTTTCTTTCATCATTAGTGCCTTCACCTAGCCAAATCAGCAGCTCCAATTCCATCTCATCACCTAAAGAGAACAATAATTCTCCTTTAGACTTATTTTCTAAACTAATTTCATTTCTGAGCTCAAATTTATTTATTTATTTATTTTTAAAGATTTTATTTATTTATTTGACAGAGAGAGATAGCGAGAGCAGGAACACAAGCAGGGGGAGCGGGAGAGGGAGAAGCAGGCTTCCTGCCGAGCAGGGAGCCTGATGTGGGACTCGATCCCGGGACCCTGGGATCATGACCTGAGCTGAAGGCAGACGCTTAACGACTGAGCCACCCAGGCGCCCTCTGAGCTCAAATTTAAAAGAAATATTTGTTGGTTTTAAAGGGTATAAAAGTTGTATGACACTTCTGGGTGAAGATGGCAGATTGAGCACATCTGACTTCCATCCCTGTGCTCTACTAAAATGACCACACGCGTGTGCGCGCGCACACACATACACATTTTTAAAGTCATAATCCAAGCTAGGAGAATTAAAGAGCCCATAAATGGAGCAATAAAATGAAATTCTGGAAGCCAGAATATAATTAGACAATTGGTAAATAACTTAGTAGATCTTAGAAAACTGAAACCTTGGTTGACAGTGAGGAAAGCCAGTAATAGAATTTATTACTCAGGATCCTTCAAAGAAGTCTCACGGTTGGCCATATTAGGTTGAAGTGCAAATGTGTGTGTGTGTGTGTGTGTGTGTGTGTGTGTAGAGGTGGGGAGGGGAGGCTGCTGCTAATGGAGTTGACTGAAAGTCTGAACTCCAACGAAAAACACTCAATCCCCTTCTCTACTCCACATAGCTAACCAGACAACTAGAGGTTTTTCCCCTCGGGAGAGAATAAAACAGAGGTTCTCCTGTTGTACAGAAACAGCTGGAGCTGAGAGTAGGGGTACCAGACTGAAAACAGGGCATTAAGTGCACATATACATACTGATTCCAAGCCTTAGCCCTACCCCCAAACCCCCATCCAACTTCCCTCACAAGGTTTCCAGAGGCTGGCAAGGTTATCATCCTCCAGGCAGGAAACTGAAAGGTTCTTCTCTGAGGATCCTGACACTGAAGCCTCCCCCACTAAACAACCCACCAAATCACTCTACATGGAAGTTTGGAGTCATCAAGCCCTGCCACTAAATATGAGCAGTCATCCAGAATTGTAAGACATTTGAAGAAAGTACCTTACATGAAAGAACCAAAACAAACAGAAAAAAAAATCAACATGGAGAAAACAGAAGCTATGTGAGGAGGAAAATATTTCCTAAATATATTAATTTCAGAAATAGGAAAAGAAATGCAACTATGAAACAAAAATAATACATATTTTTCAAGAAGAAGGAGGATGAAGGGGAATAAAAGGAATGCTTGAATGAAAAGTTATGGAAATTTTTTGTGGAAAAAAGAGCATACATGATAAGGGATGATGTAAAAAATATTTAAGGCAACTACTTAGAAAAAAGAACAACAACAACAATAAACAGATCCTCTACTTCACATGACACACAAAAATCAATTCCAAATGGACTGTAAACACAGAAAAAGATCTTGAAGATCTTAGGATAGAAAAAGACTATTAAATAGGATATAAAAGTGCTAAGCATTAAGGAAGAAAAAATAAATTGGACTACATTAAAATTAAAACTTCTTTTCATAAAAAGGCAACATTAAAGATGGAAATGTCAAGCCAAAGAGTAAAATAAGGTATTCTGGTGAGGATGAATATTCTATATATCTGACAAAAGAATGTATCCAGATATATAGAGAATTCTTAAAAATCTATAGAAAGATGTCAGGTAATCTAATAGGAAAAATGAGTAAAAGACTTGAACAGTCACTTCACAAAAGAGCTCAGGCAAGTGGCAAATAAATATATAAAAAGATGCTCAACTTGATTCAAGTGAGCAGTAAAAGCAAATTAAAACAATGCAATAATACAACATATTCCCAAAATGGCTAAAATAAATAGGACAGATAATACAAAGTGTTGATGAGGATGTAGAGCAACTGGACCTCTCAGAGGTTGCTGATAGGAATGTAAATTGATACACTACTTTGATAACTGTTTGGGAATAGCTATCAAACCTGAAGGTTTACCTGATGACAACTCCTCGATATATATTAAATAGTAATGTATTCACCAAATGACATCTACAAAAATGTTCACAGCAGAACAATTTTAATAGCTCAAAACTGGGAACAACCTCTCTATAGCAGAATACATAAACTATGTTATATTCATATCATGAAATACTGTACAGCAGTAAAAATGAACAATTACAATTCCATGCAATGACACGGATGAATCTCACAAACATAATATGGACTGAGAAAAGCACGAAGCAGAAGAGCACATACCATATGATTCCATTTATACAGAGTTACAAAAGCAAGCAAAACTAATTTATGGTATTAAAAGTCAGGGTAGATTTTGCTTCCAAAGAGATTAAGTAGACACAATTTTTCCTACTGCTCTGCTAAGTACAACTAAAAATCTTGAGGATTATATATAAAGCAAATACAGAAGACTCTGAAAGGTAGATAGAAGAAGGCAGACCAGCTAGGGACCTTGGTACCCAAAGAACAACATAGGGATGAATGGGGCTAAAGAACTTGGAAATACCAATGAGTGCAAACCAAAAAACAAACAAACAACAACAAAAAAAGCAAAACAAAAATCCCACAAAGCCCTCTCTGGCTAAAGGATGAGGAAAAACGCAGCCTAGAAAAACAGAAAACTTTAGATAATTAACAGCTGTACTCCAGCCAAATACCACAGAGTGGGATTTGGTGTTGGGGGGTAATGTGTCTTGACTCCCACCCCCACCAGCAAAGGCTACAGGGGAAGCCTAGACTTCCACACTCACCAGGCTATAACAGGGCACCCCAACCCCTAAGCTGAGGTGGTATCAGAGAACGCCAAGTAGGGAGCTGGGACTTCCGTCACTGCTAGGTGGTAATGAGGCCATGTCGTCAAGACATCATTAGTGAGGAACACTGGGGGATCCTGGACTTAAATCTCCACCTGTTAGTAACAAGACATCCCTACCTTTCCACCCCAGGGTGGTGTCAGAAGCAGCCCAGTAGAGACTCATGACTTTTGCCACCACCCAGCAGTAACAAGATTCCTCTCCTCACCGCTACTGTGGTATCAGTGGAAACCACATAGGGAGCAGTAATGAGGCACTCCTATTTCTTCCATTCAGGGAAGTATCAGTGGATAGCTAATGGTGAGCCAGAAGACCCTCGCTACTTTGCAGTAACAAGGAGCTCCTTCACCCTCAGGTGTCAAGAGGGGCTGCGTGGGGAACCTGGACTTCAACCTCCATCTAGCTGTAATGAGGCAATATCTCCAATT